GATTCTGATACAGCACTTTCTTTTCCTAAAGATAAATAAAATGTTTAAAACAAATATATAATAGTGAAGTGCACTTTTTTATTTTAGATTGCATGATCCTTAATAAAAATCCTGCTAATAGGAATGTGTTATTCAAAAAAATAAGTTGGTACACTAAGCAGTGACAGCCACTCATTGTAAGCAGGTTTATTAACAATGGTGTGATTGACTCCTGATGATTTTACAGAATAACTTATTATATGATTTTGTACCTTAAATCCATGAATGATTGGTCTTTCCATTATTAAAGTCTAATGAGATCATTTATGACGTTTAAACAATTGTAATGTTTTATAACACTTACCTTTAAATGGTTTACATACTCTGGAGTTGAATATGAGGAACACATTTCCAATGACCGAAATAGCCAAACAAACTATTAATATTAGCATTTGAGTGAATACTGATTGTGCCGGTTGCACTACAAAAACACAAAGAAAATGTTTTAGTACTCAAATCGGTATGAAAATATCTTGTTTGTTGTTTAGAACAGTTAATGAAAAATCATACCGAGTTTCAATGCAGTTCCATTTCCAAATAATATCTCCCCACATATGTCCACAGCACAGTAGTAAGTCCCAGCATCAGAGGAGCTGACGTTCTTAGAGAAGCGATAAACACATCTCTTCTGAGTCTCAGATCGATTCTCACATTCATCATGTGTATTTCCATGAGTATAGATGATGTTTGGATGCGATTTATTTGATCCGGCTCTGAACCAAAAGACACTAAGATCTTCTGAACATGTTGCTTTGTCAAAGACAGAGATGATTGAACATTGCAGAGTCACTGATTCTCCTGGATGGAGGGGGTCTAATACTGGAGGCCACTGAACAACAGTATAGTTTGATGTCATCTGAGTATTTCCTGTGTATTACAAAAGATACGGAGATGCTTTAAAGCTTATAGTAGAAACTTTAAATTTGTAAAAGTAGCTCAGTCTTACCTTTTACTGACAAATACGTCTCACTCCACTGAATGGGATACATCCACTCAGCTATTCCACAGTGATAGATTCCCTCATCCTCTTGGACTGTCTTCAGAACGGTCAGGTTGCAAACATTATTAGCATTTTCCACATTAAATCTCTTTCTAGAAAATTCAGGACTATATTCAGGTGGTGCTGATTTTGACAATGTCACAATTAATTTAAGACCATCTCCAGCACTCTGCTTGTACCAGTGGACTGTTATACTGCCGAATTCTTTAATGGGTAAAGCACATGTTAATGTTGCTGCTTCACCGAGCTGAACGGTTTTTACTGGGACCAGAGAATCTGAAGAAAAAGAAAACACAGAAAAAAAAATAAAATGTTGTAAGATGTGGAAAATTTTTAATGCAAAATTATATTTATTTGGTTTCTGTTCCTGCAGGTCACAATATAAATCATCATGACAAGTTTTTCACTAAGAATAATCTTGGACAAAAGAAGAAAAAAGTACTTACATCCTTGATGAAGAAAGAACATTGTAATCCACATCACAATCATCTTTACACTGATCTATGTTAAGGACTTTTTTGGTATTTCAGTGAAAAGGAGGTGAGATGATTACAATAAGTCAGACTGTAATGTGCACCTGATTGGTTAAGTCTGAAAAGATTCAAATCTACACTTCCTGTTACATTTACCTCCTCCTGGGCATAGTAAAAAACGGCCACCTCTCTTTTATCTAGTGTTGAAGTAATCCTTTTTTAGCTATTGTTTTGTACAATTTCGTCTATCCCTGGATATTTATTATTTTTGTCAGTGAATCTTAGGCATGTGTGCCATATAGTCTTAGAAATATATTAGTTCATCATGGTTTGCATTTCAGAGGAAATTTCCTGGTTGGCTGTTTTGCAGGCAATGACAGTTTACTCCTGAGAAGCACTGAAGAACTGACTAAACCAATATCCCCTCCTTAAAGAAGATAACCTCACCTCTTCAAAATCAGAACTGCCATATTTGCAGCAAAATTCATTGCGAATCAACCAACATTACTGAAGTAGTTTAATAACGATCACACGTGTTAACCCCATGGTGGAGCTAGAGGTAAATCCAGAATGATGCTAAACATACTGCAGCATTTTACTGACTAAATCAAAATAGAAAGCTTTTCTTTGCATCAGCTGGATTGAGAAAACCTACAACCTCAGATAATAATTATGAAATCAAGCCTTTATTTGTAAATGCAGGCATCTTTATCTGCCTCGTTGAAAACTCATTGTTTTATGCATCATTAACCCTTTAAGACCTACCATAGAACTAAGTCCGCCAGAGCTTATATTATATTTTTACATGCTGTGGAGCCATTTTTGGGAGCATTTCAAGTT